ATAATTATTCTATAAAATAAAAGACTGGAAACTATCCCTCATATACTCCTAACTAGAACATAACTGAAACAGACAAGTAACTACTGCTTGATGATAAAAATATTTAAGAGGATATCTGGGCAGCGATTAGTCTGTATAAACGTATTTTATCTGTTTTCTTCTTGGTTAATGACAATATGTCTTTATTCTTCATATATTAATTGCTTTTAAACGTGTAAGTAATATTATAAAAATAATATAAATTAAACATACTATTAATAAAACTGCCCTGATATACCACCGTTAATTGTTATCCGTAAAAAAGTAAAACATACGTACCCATTATTTTAGGGTTCCGTAGCCAGTTGGCAAAAACGGAACCCTTATTGATTCGTCATGTCTGTCTGTCTGTCCGTCCGTATGTCACAGCCACTTTTTCCCGAAACTATAAGCTATGCTGTTGAAACTTGGTAAGTAGATGTATTCTGTGAACTGCTATAAGATTTTCACACAAAAATAGAAAAAAAAACAATAAATTTTGGGGGTTCCCCATACTTAGAACTGAAACTCAAAAACTTTCTTTCCGTCAAACCCATACATGTGGGGTACCTATGGATAGGTCTCCAAAAATGACATTGAGGTTTCTTATATAATTTTTTTCTAAACTGAATAGTTTGCGCAAGAGACACTTCCAAATTGCTAAAATGTGTGTCCCCCCCCTGTAAAAAATATATGATGTACATTACCATGTAAACTTCCACCGAAAATTGGTTTGAATTTTTTTTAAACGTCATAAATCGTAACTTGCTGCTACGGAACCCTTCATGGGCGAGACCAACTCGCACTTGGCCGCTTATTCTTATATTTGAATCGGTCCGGTTTCGAGGGAGCAAACAAAGGAATACGGGATAAAGATTTTGTTAATATTTCAAAAGTCAGTCAGAGCTGCAGTAGCATCTGTTGATTATCTAGCAAAAGACTGTTAAAAATCTATTTTTCAAAGTTTTATCAGCTCGCAAGAAATTCTTAGATCGACGTTAAATAAAATTTTTTACTTAAGTGATTTTTGAGATTAGCCAATTATTTTATACTACAATGTACACGAGCGGGCATATAACTGGCGGAGATACATAAGTTCTCATAATGGAAGCCAATATCTCAAAAAAGGAAGTTTAATATTCGCAGGGAGTTTATGTTGAATTCGTTTAATGTAAACGATGAACCACAGTATTATCTCCAGTTTAAATGCGATCCAAAAAAAAAAAAACAAGAAGAAATCCTTGTTCTGCCCAAAAATGGAAAAGTTAAAATGAAATAACCTAATGACTTCAAAACACCATTACCGTTTATAAATGTCATTATAAGTCTTACGTGAACAAGTATTTTAGTAAGAGTAGTCTTAAGTTAGTCTAAGGGCAGCATAGAAGACTTTCCTAGCCTACGATTTAAGCTATATCTGAATCGAACTTTAAAAATAAATTGTACGTAGAACAGCGAAGGACTAGGTGGTAGGAATCCTTTTTCAGCCCTAAAGTTCGTCTGGGTAACTAATAACCTAATCCTGTCGACAAATAGCAGTGTTTGCTCTGCTGTGTTTAAATCTAAAGTGTCTCTTAAGAGCCAATATAAATATAGGATGTGAGACTACTTTCACATATATATCTAAGTCCTACGAGGTGATAAAACACGTATAGCTTCCTTTGCTTGAATTTGTTATTTGACTGCAGTAGCCTTTTATAGTCAGTTATAGTAAGTGAACATTAAGTTCGTTTTTCATTTCAGTTTTATTAAAAAAAATATCACTCATTCAAAATTTAAAAAAAATTGTGTGTTAGTCGTGGTGGTGTAATAAAGTTAACGACTACTTCAGCTTTCGACTTCAACTTACAAGAATATTGATTTCTAGATAGGCTGGCACTCTGATTTTAGACGCGTACAACAGATCGTATGAGTGTTTTAATTTTAAACTTCCCTGATAACGACTTATTTTTAATTCGAAAATATTTAAAACGGATCTCATAGATGTCACGAATGTTACACAAACTTCGCTCGGGAAAGAGCTTTTGTTGAAAGAAAGGGTGGCACTTAAGCCTGCGTCGCATTCTCATTATTTACTTTCATCCTGAAGAGCCTTTGCTTCACGCTTGGTACCTTATACACAAGGAAAATAAGAATAATATATATATATATATATAGCTTATTCATTCATGACAGTTGACTCGGTCTACCTTCAGGTTTTCAATATTGTTTTAGTCCGATCTACACAGAAGCTTAAATTATCTTGATGTCGTGCAGTTAACTTCGATTTCGATTTAATTTTGTTAATTATTGGGTCTTTAGTTAGAATTGAAATACTTCTCTATTGATGCTTTTTTATTTTTATGGCCTCAATAATCATTCTTGGTAGGAATCGCTATTGATTGGGTGTATTTTTATAACAGCTTAACTATGACAAATTATATTAACATTTCCAGTTTATTGCTTCAAATAACTATACTACATATATTCTAATTTTTGAAATATAAATTTATGTTATACAATTAGTGGCAGAGTCGGTAAGTGGCGTCAAGGTGGAAGCTTATCGACCAAACTGGTGATGTATTGAAAATTTGCCGAATTAAGAGACTGAGCACTGACCGACGAGTATACTTGCATACTTACATATGAATGGGATATAAGCGAGAGAGATGTGTCAAATCATACCAAATAGAAGTCCGAAGTCTCTGTTCTACCCTCTACGTAATAGTCGTGAGATTTAATTATGTTATGTTATTTTTTGTTATGTTTTTCTATGTATCTTTAATTTTTAGCTAGATTATTTAACAACTTCATTAAATACCATGCACTCTTTTGCTCGCCCAGACAGAGAAAGACACTGAAAATAACTGTTACATAAGGTCAGCCGTTTTTATTTACAGCAAGGTACTTTCATCGCCATCTGTAGTGGAAAGAATTGGAACTCGGTATTTAGAAATGCTGAATCCGGCTCCTAACAACTACCGGCATTGGTGTGACATGGCCATTAAACACGATGTTTATTTTTAACACGTTCATCTTAAGACCTATCCGTTGGGAGACACTATTGAGGTCATCGAGCATAGTGCTTAGGTCCTCCAGCGATTCTGCCATAAGGACCATATCGTCGTCAAATCGAAGGTGAGTGATGTACTCGCCATTAATGTTAATACCTTATCCTTTCCAGTCCAGTAGCTTGAAAACTTCTTCTTAGGCAGCGGTGAAGTGTTTCGGGGATATAACGTCACCCTGTCTTACACCTCTCTGCAGTTTGATGGATAGGTTTCGGATTGAAGATAGGGCCCATCTAATTATTTCTTGTTCAAATATTGATATGCTAAAACAAAAATAAGTTAATAATATTTTACGTGAAAAACTTTTTTTCATACTACATATTATATTATTTTATTGCTAAGATAGATCCTCCTCATACAGTTAGGCATGATTAATAGCGCCATTAGACCCTAGGTTGAGAATATAAATAACACAGTAGACTTTATTCAAGAATGATAAGAAACTTAAGGCATATTCATATGTTCAGAATATGTTTAGTAAGCAGTAAGTATGAATTCTTAAAAATAAACACTTTTGTTCGATTTTTCAATAGTCAGATAAAACTTATTCATAGCATAAAATACAACATAAACACATAAAAATTACAGTCTTAAAAATGAAATAGTTCTATTCATTAACTTTTATCTTTTTTCCGGCTTTAATTTATTTGATGGAATTAACAAAGGAAAAATTAGCTCGCAGGCAAGTGAAAAGCTTTTTTAGTTAAGTAACAACTTACATATGTCCCACAGCTGGGCATAGGCCTCAAATTTCTGAGGGGGTTGTGAAGAAGTTAGTCCAGCTCCAATGCGTGTTTTGCGGACTTTAGGTGTGATTAAAATATTCTATTGCTTAGAGATATGCAGGTAACTATCAAAGTCCACTACTGAACATAGGCCTCCCCATAGATTGCCTCATAAGGAATATCTGTTCCATAGATGTCATGCTTACAACGTATTGAAAAATACTGTTTTTTTACTATTTGTTATTATGGAGACGCTGCTGCACATCCCCTAGTTGCTTTCGTTTATTTCTTTCGCCTCTTACGACACGCACAATTTGAGGTAATGGATATTCGTACACCACAGCACGGTCATTCAATTGATTTCCTCATTTCATTTTAAATATACAAGCTGTTACAATTTTCTAATAAATATAAAAGCGTTGTTGAAGACCCCGTTACGTTAATGAGATGTTGTAAAAAATTTATATATCACATTAGTGATGCGGTGGTGCGTTTTAGATCAGGCTAAATTTTCTCATCGAGACTTCACTTCAAGTGTATCAATAGGACAAACAGTACAACTAGCTTGCTAGTAAACATTGGTCCTTCGAGCCGGATCAATGTTTACTAGCAAGCTAGTTGTACTGTTTGTCCTATTGATACACTTGAAGAGTTGATAATATATAAATCAAACTACAACAATGTATGATCTGAGCTGGTTTATTATTATATACAATAATTTAAATGGCCTTATTACACACTGAGTAACGCAACCATAGTGCAATCTATTTCTATGTCAACGCCATCTATCGAAGTAGAACTAAAACTTTTTTAATTACAAATGTGGTTTCTTCATTAACATACCGCCCACCAAGGACATTTAGTGACGGAATGGCCTTTTAAATTGTACTTAAGTCTAAATTTGCACTTAAATCTAAAATTTGCACTTAAATTTAAAATTTGAACTTAAATCTAAAATTTGCACTTAATACTTTATAACACACTTCTATAATTTAATCTCATAAAGTATGACCTAAAAACTTACAAATAAAAATAAAGACTTCAACAGCTTAAAATAACCTAAAATAAAATTTTGAAAAGTAACATTGTAAAATTAAACCTATAAATGTAATTAATGTTGTACATATAGCTACATTTGATCGTAAAAGTAAAAGAACATTTGATACAATAATATTTTTACATAAATTTGACATAAAAATTGAACAATTCATGGATCCGAGATAGGCAGAATACATAATTTTGATGTTGGCCTCTTAATTACGGATGTTTTCGTACGCAATGTGACTACACGGGTAACGTTATCATCATCGGGGTGTTTCTCTATAACTCTACCCAATAACCAACGACTTGGAGGCAAATCATCTTCTTTAATTAAAACAACGTCACCAACATTAGGTTCCGGAACTTGTGACGCCCATTTGTATTCATGAGCTTTGACAGATATTCCTGTGACCATCGTTTCCAAAAAGACTGCAGCATCCTTTGCACAAATTGCCACCTAGTTAAATAGCTTACGTTTGAACTTTTGTAATTTTTATCTGGTACATTAATTATCGGTTCTCCTATTAAAAAATGTCCAGGAGTTAAAGGGAGGGGCTCACCAGGATCAGTAAAGTTAATAACGCTTAGCGGCCGCGAATTCAGACAGGCTTCCACTTGATTGAGGAATGTAGTCATTTCCTCGTACGTTAGGGTAGAGTCGCCAATAACCCTTTTAAGGTGAAATTTGGTGGATTTTACACCCGCTTCCCAAAGACCACCGAAATTGGGAGCATGAGGCGGAATAAAATGCCACTCGGTGTTGTTTGCTTCCAGATATTCTGCTATGGCTGGCTGAATAGATGCCAACTGTTGCAGTTCTCTGGAGGCGCCTACAAAGTTGGAGCCGTTGTCGCTCCACAATTTAGCACAGTGACCTCGTCGCGACACAAAACGTCGAAAAGCGGCTAAAAATGCCTGTGTGCTCATGTCACTGACGACCTCTAGGTGAATAGCACGAGTGGACATGCAAACGAAAAGGCATATGTAGCCCTTATAAGAACGATGCCCACGTCCTTTAGTGGTTCTTATACTTATGGGTCCAGCATAATCCACTCCGCTATATAAAAATGGTCTTGCTGGTGTACATCGAACCGATGGGAGCGCACCCATCAGTTGGTTTCTAACACTAGCTCTCTGTTTCGCACAAGTTACACACTTGCGAACATATTGTTGAACTAGAGATCTAGCACCTATTACCCAATAGGCTGACCTTAAATAGTTTGCCATTAACTGAGGACCACCATGCAATGTCTCCTCATGCGCGTCTGCAACTATAAGAAGAGTCAAATGGCATGAATGTGGTAGAACTATCGGATGTTTTACTTGCTCATCTAGTTCAGACTTTTCAAGTCGTCCACGAATTCGCATGATACCATTCTTGTCGAGAAAAGGACAAAGTGATTTCAATTTACTTGATTTTATATTCAAATACCCTTTTTCCTTTAATTGTTCATATTCTGTTGTGAATGAATCTATTTGTGATTTCCTTATACAAGTTTGTAATGCTGCTTCTATTTCGTGATCTTTCAAATATTTACTATCGTGTTTTTCCTTTTTTAAAACTCTTCGACAATATGCAATAACTTTAACTAATTTTCTTAGACTGGAATAATTTTCGAAAACTACGTGCTCTGGAACTACAGCTGTGTGCGCCTTTATAGTTTGTTCTAAATCTGTCTTTAGATTCTTTGGCCTCTTGTACTCAATTAATTTATTTTTCAGAAATGATGGTCCTGAAAACCATAACTCATTACCGACTAATGAACTGGGTAGTATTCCTCTTGATGCGCAGTCAGCTGGGTTCTCTTTGGTCGGCACATGAAACCATTGAGATGAATTCAAAGCGCCCAAAATTTCTGAAGTCCTGTTGGCAACAAACGTTTTCCACCTGCTAGGGTGACTATTAAGCCACGATAGCACTACTGTAGAATCAGTCCATGCAAAGATCTTTTCCTTTGAAATATTTAAAATCTCTGCTGTCTCTATCAATAACTTTGATACAAGTATAGCACCACATAGCTCCAATCGAGGAATACTAATTTATTTGATGGGAGCTACTCTCGTTTTAGCCACTAACAACGACAGATGAATTTTGCCTGAGACATCAATTGTTCTTAAGTAAACGACGGCTGAGTACGCTGCTTTAGAGGCGTCACTAAAACCGTGCAATTCAAGGTCATCAGATGAACTAGTACCAAGCCAACGAGGTACCTGAACTTTGGTTAGTAATGACAACTCTTCGCGGTAAGTACTCCACTCTGTTATTACTTCGGTAGTTAATTCCTCATCCCAACATACACCTAAGAGCCATAATTTTTGTATGAACATCTTTGCTAATACGACTCTAGGAGCTAACCATCCCAATGGGTCGAACAAACGAGCTATATCTGATATTATTAGTCTTTTTGTTACAGGTGCTGTCGTCAGCGGTGGAAGATTTACCGAGTACTGAAAGCAATCTTCGTGGCGGTTCCAGGTAAGTCCCAAAATTTTTATTGTACTCTCTAGCTTAATTTCTATTTCCTTATTATCTATTTCCTTTTCCTTAACTCCTATGTCCTCTTTGTCCTTATTTTCAGTGTTCTCATTTTTAATTTTTATTTGACCTGTTTGCTGTCCTACTTCATTTGTATATATTGAACTTATTCTATCTAATAGTTGCCGATTGTTACTGTTCTACTTCTGCAATGCGAATCCTCCCTTTCCTAATAATGCTACCATCTGTTTACAGATTTCAACGCCCTCTTCGACGCTATTACTTCCCATCATTAAATCGTCCATATAAAAAGAGTTTAAAACTCTATCTGCTGCAAGCGGGTACTTATCTCCTTCGTCGTACGCAACCTGATGGAGTGACCTAACTGCCTGATTTGGTGCAGAAGCTGTTCCAAAGGTCACCGTTCATCATCAACATCATCATTACAGCCCTTCACAAGTCCACTGCTGAACATAGGCCTCCCCCAAAGAATGCCACAAAGCACGGTCCTGAGCCACCTGCATCCATAGACTTCCTGCATATCTTACCAGGTCGTCACTCCATCTAGTGGGGGGACGCCCTACACTTCGCCTGCCGGTACGAGGCTGCCACTCGAGAACCTTTCTTCCCCATCGGTCGTCGGTTCTTCGAGCTATATGGCCGGCCCATTGCCACTTCAGCTTACTAATCCGTTGGGCTATGTCGGTCACTCTAGTTCTACTGCGGATATCCTCATTTCTGAGTTTATCACGCAGAGAAACTCCGAGCATAGCCCTCTCCATAGCTCGCTGAGCGACCTTGAGCTTCCTCATCCGGCCAGCAGTGAAGGACCACGTCTCAGTTCCGTATGTCATCACTGGCAACACGCACTGGGTGTACAGTCTCGTTTTCAAGTTTTGAGGTATACCTGACGAGAAGATGTGCCGTAATTTCCCGAACGCTGCCCAACCGAGTTGAATCCGTCGATTGACCTCTCGGTCGAAGTTGGACTTACCTAGTCGGACTATTTGTCCCAGGTAAACATACTCGTCAACAACTTCGAGCTTAGTGTTCCCAACAACTACCGGCATAGGTGTGACATGGACATTAAACATGATCTTTGTTTTGTCCATGTTCATCTTAAGACCTATCCGTTGGGAAACACTATTGAGGTCATTGAGCATAGTGCTTAGGTCCTCCAGCGATTCTGCCATAAGGACTATATCGTCGGCAAATCGAAGGTGAGTGATGTACTCGCCATTGATGTTGATACCGTATCCTTTCCAGTCCAGAAGCTTGAAAACATCTTCCAATGCAGCGGTAAAGAGTTTCGGGGATATGACGTCACCCTGTCTTACACCTCTCTGCAATTGGATAGTTTTCGTACTCTGGTTTTGTACTCGGATAGCCATCGTAGCCCTACTGTACAAGCACTTCAACACTTCGATATACCGACAGTCAACTTGGCATCGCTGAAGGGACTGCAGCACCGCCCAAATTTCGACGGAATCAAAGGCTTTCTCATAGTCCACATACGCCAGACATAGTGGCAAATTGTACTCCTCGGACTTCTGTACAATTTGCCGAAGGGTATGTATGTGGTCTACGGTGCTAAAGCCTTTTCGGAAACCAGCTTGTTCGGGAGGCTGGAAGTCGTCAAGTCTGCGCGCGAGACGATTCGTAATGACTCTCGAAAACAGCACGTAGACGCGGCTCAGAAGGGAAATCGGTCTGTAGTTCTTCAAGAGAGCGTTGTCGCCTTTCTTGAAGAACAAGACCACCGCACTTCTGCTCCACGCCTCCGGTGTAATGCCACCATGGAGGACGGAATTAAAGAGCTTCTGAAGGACTTCAAGTACCGGTTTTCCACCCGCTTGTAGAAGCTCCGCTGTAATTCCATCCTCGCCTGGGGCCTTGCCGTTTTTAAGGTGCTGGAGAGCCATTCTAATCTCGCTCAGACTGACGTCCGGGATATCATCGGAATAATGTCGGATAAGACTCGCTCTTGGATCGTTACTCACACTTGCGTGCGGCTCCAACGATGACGTGTACAGCTGCCCATAGAACCTCTCAATCTCACTCAAAATCTCAGGTGCCCCGGAAACGATGCTGCCACATTCTGTCTTCAGCTTTGACAGTTGGCGCTTTCTGGCAGACAGATCTCTGGCAAAGACTTTGGAGCCGTTACCAACTCATAATCCCTAAGTGGCTTTTCAGGGCTTTCTCGCCAAAGTATCCTCTGGAAGACAGCATCTTCATCCGCTATTCTGACTTGGCGGTACATTTTGATTATATCCGCCACAATACCAATAGCGTGTACTCTCCATCTTAGAATGGTGTGTCTTAAGTCTGCTTGCAGCGTTGGTCCAACCATTAAAGTGTCATTGAGTGAAACTCCTTTTTTATTTTTCTCAGAGGCGTTGAAAACTACACGTACCTTCGTGGTGGTCTTATCGTTTCTAATCACCGCGTGGTGTGGTAAGTAAACTGCTTCATCTTTCTTATTATCCTCTTCCTTTACAGGTCTCATGTGTCCTAATTGTAAGTATTCATTAATTACCTCTGTATATTTTTCCTTTAAATATGTGTCCTTATTTAATCTTTTTTCTAACGATTTGAATCTTGTTTCAGCTATGTCACGGGAACTTCCGGCCTTGCATGCAGGATCTTCGTCTCGAAATGGTAAACGTACAATGTATCTGCCTGTATCATCCCTCTTAGTAGTTTTCATATAAAATTCTTCACATTTTTGCTCTTCTGGGTTAAGTAATTTCCTTGTACTAACTTGTTCTTCTATCTCCCAGAATTTCTTTAGAATATTGTCTTCATTGAACTGTGTACAGTGCACACTTAAATTTCTTGTGTGGTGTTTTGAACTCTCATTGCTTGAACTGACTACACCGGAAAGGATCCACCCTAAGGTGGTGTTCTGCGCTATTAGAGTACCAGACGGACTCTTTACTACACCTTCCTTCATAATGCAACAGTAAGCATCTGCACCCAAAAGAATGTCTATTTTATTAGGTGTTTTGAAATAAGGATCTGCCAAACAAAGACCGTTGATATCAATCCAATCCAATGAACTGGTATTCACACTTCTCTCAGGTAAGTATGATGTAATCTTACTCAAGACGTAAGCATTTATTTGAAGTTGAAAATCAAGATCAACAGTGGATTTAATAATTAAATTTACCATATAATTAGCAATGGTTGACTTATTATCTCCTAAACCTCAAACGTGACCTCGGACTGGAATTTTCTTAAGCCTAAGAAATTGGACAGTGGCCTCTGTTATAAAACATGCTTGTGATCCTTGATCAAGTAGGGCTCGAATTGTTTTAAATTCACCTATCTTGGACTCTGCCTTTATTAATGCAGTGGCTAATAAAACCTGTCTGGGTTTTGAGACTTTGCCCGTAGATAAGCATGTAACTATCTGATTGTCACTATTTGAAGAACTGGCGTTGTCGATAGTGGACTTTACTGTAGAATCTTGGCCTTTATTCTCAGCGTTAGGTTCTCTATTAGGGTGCAGCAAGGAATGGTGGCGCCTTTTGCAAACTCTACAGACATTCTGCTTTTTACAGTCATAAACTGTATGATTTCCGCCTAAACAATTAAAACATATTTTATTTTTTGCTACGAACTCTCGTCTGTTTTCTATGGACTGTTTTGCAAATTGCTTACAAAAACAGAGCTTGTGAAGTTCTGAGCAAAATTCGCAACGAATATTCGACGACTTTGTGGCCAGTATTGCTTTCGAACTAAGAACGTGAGAACTATTATTGATCTGGTGAGCCACAGCCTTCCTCGGCTCTATACATTCTAAAGCGCGAAAACGACTTTCAATAAATATCCGAAACTGCTCAAAGGTGGGCACTCGTTGCTGGAGTCATTAGAAACACTTAACTCCCACTGCTTTCGTGTTTCATTATCTAATTTGAACGTCACTATATGGATAACAATAACGTCCCGTGTACTTACATCGATTTTCAAATTTTTCAATGCATTTAAACAGTCGCTCGTGGTATCTAGCAGCTCCTTTAATGAGTTAGCCGATTCCACATGTAAGCGTTTCTGGCCGAACAATCTTTTTAAAATACAACTGGTTAAATACTTTTTATTTGCATAACGCTTTTCTAACTGAGACCAACATTCGCGGTAATTGGCATCTGTGATTGGTGTGTGCCTAATCAACTGTTCGGCTTCACCAGTGAGGTGGCCTTTAAGATAGTGCAGTTTTTGCACATTATCTAAAGATGCATTGTGTACAAGTGAAATAAAAAGATCGTGAAAAGATGTCCATTCACTGTACTTGCCAGAAAAGGTAGGAATTGTTATCTTGGGCAACTTTACAAATGAATTAGATTGCTTAGAAGAATTATTACTACATCCACTGTCTTGTGGTAGCGGTTCTCTTACACTATTTAACGTTGATTTCATTAAACATTTACATGATATGTAAGTATCTTCGGTTGTGTCATATATATCGACAACCTTTTGACATATGTCTTCTAACTTAAACCGACCATAAAGTTGAGATTTAGTATTTTTAAACGAAGACCAATCA